ACCCCTGATTGAAAGGAATGCCTCCTTACTTGCTCTCTTATCCTACATTCACTGGGACCTAAGAATGTTGTAAGACCATGAAGTTGCACTAATGTTGTATCTTGTCTATTTATTTTGTCGTGTTCATGTAATGTCTGTTTGAGGTAGTGACCCTTAGAGAGCTGTAGGCCACGAAATTTCATTTTAATGTATGCCGATCAGTGTCCATTCAGAGTGTCAAGCCCCTGTTGGGATCTGATTCTGAGGGAGAGGCCGAGCAGCTGACGGAGTGGGAGGGGCTCCGGTGGCTGGGGAGGAAACTAGGGAATGGCACAGCCGGCTGGGCATTCAGAGGAAGACCCAGGGCCACCCCCTCTGCATCCTAGGGCATGCAGGGAGGAACGGAGAAGGGAGCAACGTGAGTTGTGTGGTTTACGGGGGAGGAAAGGGCCCTGATCCCCTTCATTAAGCCATACCTAGGAAAACTGTTGAAAAAAGGCAAACTTGCTGGAAGCAAAGCATGCATTATCTTTGCTTGTCAAGTCTTATCTGGGTTCTGGCGTCCTCCCAACTCTGTGTGTTTCGTTATCTTTTGAGTTCTGCAATTCCTTATCCTGCCTTGTCTTGTTCATTGCTGCAGCTGTGCTTTGTGTTGGTTTTTATTTATAATTTTTATGTACTTTGGGTTCGGACGGAGTTTCTTCCTTTTAAAAACTGTTCTCGGGAGAGTTTTTTTCTCCAGCCGATGATAACTGGACATTGGGGGTCCAAGTTGGAGGTATTAAAAGGAATGTTATCTACTTTTGTGACTTTGTTGCTTTTGTGCCACGCCCCTTTGGGTCATCACACAGGGGGACAATAAAGTGTCTACAGTGCGTTATCTCTTTTGAAGCCTCCCTTTTCCCATTCCCTGACCAAAAGTCCTTTTTTCCCTCTCACTCTCTCTCTCTCTCTCTCTCTCTCTCCCTCTGCCAGGTATAACTTCTTCACAGGTTGCCCCAAGGCCAAAACCTGCACGATTATCCTGCGAGGCGGCGCAGAACAGTTCATGGAGGAGACGGAGCGTTCCCTGCACGATGCCATCATGATCGTACGAAGGGCGATCAAGGTAAAAGGGGCCGGGTGGGGTTTCTGCAAGGGGTGGGTGTGGACAATCGAAGGCCAGGAAAGAGAGGGGGGGGTGTCATTCGATCTCGTCCTCCTGGCTGTGTGCCAAATTCCACCCCCCCCAAAGAAATCTGGAGATACATATATATTTTTCCCCCCCGTCTCCAGCACGATTCCGTAGTCGCCGGCGGCGGAGCGATAGAAATGGAAATCTCCAAATACCTGCGAGATTATTCCAGAACCATTCCGGGCAAGCAGCAGCTGCTGATCGGGGCGTACGCCAAAGCCCTGGAGATTATTCCACGCCAGCTTTGCGACAACGCCGGCTTCGATGCCACCAACATCCTCAACCAGCTCCGAGCCAGGCACGCCCAGGTGAGCATCCTTGGAAGGGGAGGAACGGGCCGCGGGAGCCTTTTGCAAAAACATTTTTTAAAAAAACAACCCTTTCGGCTTCTTTGGGTTTCTAACTCTGGGCCTTTAGACCTTCTTGGGTGATTCTGGTCTTTGCCTTTGTTTCAAAATTTAAAAAACTGCTTTTGGTGAGGGGCCACGGGGAGATTGCTTGAGCTCTAAGTGGACCAAGGTATCGGCCTAGCCGCTCTCTCTTCCTGCCTGAAGCGCTGAGGTCTGCTTTTCCCAGCCTGGCGCTGTCTTCAAGGGTTGGGCTGGAGAGGATCCTAGTCGTAGCCCTAGCAACACGCGAGTCAAGGTTGTATGCACAACAGGCATGAATTTAAGGAGAACCAAATATTATCAGGCTTAAAAGACAAAAATGCAGAGGTGCTGCGAGGCTCCATCTGACAGCCGACTTATGGCCACAATCCATCAATTCCATCTATCCATCCACCCACATCTATCTTCCACTTATCCTGTATATCTCATCTATCATTTATCATCTATATCCATCTACCCATCCACATCTGTCTTCATCCATCCATATCTATCTTCCATCCATCATCTGTCTGTCTATCATATATCTACCTTTCTAACTTCTGTCATTTATGTATGTATCTCCATTCATCCACATCTTATCTTCCATCCATTATCTATCTATCTATCTATCTATCTATCTATCTATCTATCTATCTATCTATCTATCTATCTATCTATCTATCTATCTATCATCTATATCCATCTCTCTACCTCTTACCTACCTACCTACCTACCTATCCACCCATCCATCCACCCATCATCTATCATCTGTTTCTGTGTGCGTACATGTTTGTCTCATTCCTCTATCATCTCTCTCTATCTCTATCATCTATCTATCTCTGTATCTATCTATATATCTATCTATCTATCTTTATCGTCATCCTTCAGTCACAGGAGACGATGGGATCATGCTCTGAAAAGAGGTCCTAAAAGAGCATCTAGTGTGGCTAAAAAGGCCAATTCGAGAGGGACAATCTCTTCCACACTGAAGACAGGTACAGCCTGTCCCATCCAGCCTCCGGATTTCGCTGGTTCCGGAACTGCCTCTTGGCCTCAGCCTGCCCAACGAGTGTCTCTTCTTTGAATTGGAGAAGGCCAGGCGGCGTCTTTAGCCTCCAAGCTGAATGATCAGAGGTCAAGGTTTCCCAGCTGTTGGTGTCCATTCCCAAGGCCTTTAGATCCCTCTTGCAGATGTACCATGAGTGACACTGGGCAGTTCACAAACAACAATATTGATCTTTTGTAAGTTGCTTTTAGCAACGGCCAGCCATTCCTACGTTCTGTGCTTCTCCTGGCCTTCTACATGTTCCTCCAGTCCGGCCAACTGGTCATTGTGTCCCAAACTCTGACTCTACCAAAAACACTTGCCCGAATATCCTGCTTGGGTCCAGAGGGAGGCCTGGCCTTGATTTACCCCCTAAGTCCAGAAACTGCTCTTCCTTGGCCACAGCAGGTGGGAGGGCAGGCTGTGAGGTTGGAGGCACCTGGTGGCTTCAGCTCAAACTAGAATAGAAGAGAGAATAGAATAGAATAGAGAATACAAAATAGAATATAGGAATACAGAATAGAATAGAATAGAATAGAATAGAATAGAATAGAATAGAATAGAATAGAAATACAGAATAGAGTAGAATAGAATAGAAATAGAAATAGATGGTGAATGGATGGGATGGAATAGAGTAGAATACAGTAGAATGGAGTAGAATAGGAAATACAAATAGAAAAGAATAGAATAGAATATAGAATAAAAAATAGAATAGAAATAGATGGTGAATGGGATTGGATGGGATGGGATGGAATAGAATAGAAAATAGATGGTGAATAGGATAGGATAGAATAATGAATAGAATAGAAATAGATAGTGAATGGATCGGATGGGATGGGATAGAACAGAATAGAATTCTTTATTGGCCAAGTGTGATTGGATACACAAGGAATTTGTCTTTGGTGCAAATGCTCTCAGTGTCCATGAAAATACATTCATCAAGAACCATCAAATACAACACTTAGTGATAGTCATAGGATACTAAATAAGCAATCAAATCATACTAGGAAACTAAATAAAACTATAAATTGTAAAGATACAAGCAACAAGGTTATAGTCATAAGTGGGAGGAGTTGGATGAAAGGAAGGATGAGAGAAATAGTAGTGCAGACTTTGTAACAGTTGAAGAGTGTTAAGGGAATTATTTGTTTAGCAGAGTGATGGCGTTCGGGGAAAAAAAACTATCCTTGTGTCTCGTTGTTCTGGCGTGCAGGGCTCTATAGCGTCGTTTTGAGGGTGGGAGTTGAAACAGTTTATGTCCAGGATGTGAGGGGGTCTTCTGTCTGTCTGCCCTGCAGGGGGGCACCTGGTACGGCGTGGACGTGAACAACGAAGACATCGCCGACAACTTCGCCGCCTGCGTGTGGGAACCGGCCATCGTGCGCATCAACGCCCTGACGGCCGCCTCCGAGGCCGCCTGCCTCATCGTGTCGGTGGACGAAACCATCAAGAACCCCCGGTCCACCGTGGACGCCCCTCCCGTGGGCCGTGGCCGAGGGCGAGGCCGGCCACACAACCACTGAAGAAAGGCCCAGGCCTATTTGTCGCGGGGCGGGAGAGGCGGGAATGGGGACGACCGATTTT